GAGATGATCTTCCTTTTTACAGGAGTGACCTAAGTTACCAATCCACAACTAACATACACTTCAGACTTGTGTAAAAATCATTTGCTTTTGATAGAACTATGCCATAGAAATCAGTATATATTTGCATGTTTTTATGTAGAATTTAAGACCGTATTCACAATTAATTGCTTTGGTATCACTTTTATGATAAAATAGTCATGACATTTCTTCCACTCCCATGCTTAAACCAATTTCTCTCTCTATGGAGGCAAAGCACATGCCACAAAAGTAATAAAAATTATAAGCCCTGTAGTGTAAAGTGAATCTAAAACAAGCTAGCATAGACATATTTTTACATACAACCTAAGTTTAAATTTAGTGTAGTGGATTGATCCCTTGCTTAGCCTTTAATAAAACAGGATTCAGGGGTATTTATATCTAAGCAAAGAAATAAAATTAGTTTCATTCCTCCTGTCCTTATGTATGACACTGAACGAGTAAGACCTCTGTGTTGTAAAGGGAAAGAACATTTAAATCGCAGTATTAAGAGGAATCACTACAATGAAGGTGTTACTGCCTGAGGACTCTCCTGGAGGTCGGTGCTGGAGGCTGGAAGGTGAGGCAGAACATCACCGGGAAGCAGAAGTGAAGTGTAGCAGGATGCAGGCCCCAAATTGTTTCAGCTGGAATTCCACTGATTTTAATGAAGCTCCACCAGGGATGAATTTAAGCCATTACAAAGAGGCGTAGATCTGGCATTTTACAGCTCGGATCATGTTTCTTACGCTGAATGCCAGCGTTCTCTTCTCAAATGTCAGACTTGTTTAATTACTTTATTTCACCTTTTAATTTTTGAAAGTATTTAAAGTGTTGCTGAGGGGCGTTGGAGCGGAAAGGACAAGTCAGCTTTGTGTTCGTACTGTTTCATTGTGTTTGTATTGAAATAATGCCTACATATACTAATCAGACTTTATTGTACCTTATGCATACATACCTGCTATATAATATTTACCTGATGTGATACAGCACAGAAGACTGAGGGATTTATAGCCGGATATGAGAGGTGCCTGCAGGCTGGATCTCATGACAGGAAGAGCTGGGGAAGTCTGGAGACACCCCTGGGCTGGGTCAGAGGTAGCGTTACGGCAGGGTCTGACACTTTTCCACAAACAAGACTGCAGGAGGCAGCATTTTATCTGCTTTTATGAGCTCTTTTCTGATTTTTGCAGGCAGTTGAGCAAAATATGAGTGTTTACACAAACAGCTTTTATTTCAACAGCGCTGAAAGAAAATGACAAGAAATGTTATCTAGCACACTTGAGATCAAGTGCAGGATAGGTTTATTGAGGGGTGCAGGGGAACTGTAGCTGCCTCTGCCCTGGGATGTCACTCAGGATGGGGCATGCTTATTTTAACTTATTTTGAGAAGAACATTAGAAGCTCTCAAAAATAATATGAAAAACATTTCCAGGATGTAGGGAGGGAAGGGGCTGTGCTGACTGGTCTTGAGGACGGCCTTCTCTCTTACCAGAGGTATGGGACTGTAATGGATTTCATGGGAGTTGGTCTCATTCATGTTGGCCAAATACCAAGAACTATAAGTCCATTATAAAGAATTACAACCTGCATGTTATGTCAAATTTTATTAATGATGAACAGTTTTTTGTTTGTTTTTGTTGTGTTTTACTTTAGAGGCTGATGTGCATGTTAAAACAAACCAGTGTAGACCAATGCAGTCTCCAACCCTAAAATACACTGTGACTGAACCTTCAGTACTGGCTTTTTACTACAGGCAATTTTGTCTTTTGCTTACTAAAAATATCAGAGGGGTTTGATGTGATCTGTGTAGCAGAACAGGATGCAAAGTTCTTGAAGGCCTGGGGACAGTGCACTGCTGCTGCTACACACTCTGTGTAAGGGCACATCTGCCACATCTCTTTCCCTGGCCCTTGGATCTGGTGCTGCAGGGATAGGATGAGGGCATTTCTTAGCAGAGTGCTGCTGTTAAAAATACTTCAAGGCAAGGAGACTGTTCGGAGGGGACACAGCTGTGAGGTGCCTGGCTACAGAGCACGACTCCGCCCTTCACAGGTGGGTTGGCTGGAAACACAGAGGGGCACCAGGACGTGCCCCTGGGCAAGGTATTGGGATGAGCCACATGTTCTCAGCCCATTTCATGATTTAGTTTTAAGGCTTCTTTGTTCTCCGTTTGCTTGCCGTGTGGCAGGAGTGACAGGTTACGTTCTTCCCCTCGTGCTGGTAAGGTGGGACAGGCTCTCTGTACCATGCTTAGTTTTCTGCCCTTCATTTTCTGCCTACAGCTTGTTTCCCAGGTGGAAATGTAGGCATTGAATGGGGGCGAGTTTAAAGTGCTTGGTGCCCCGTCCTTCCTCCTTTCTTTGGGACAGCCCTCCTTGACTCCTGCTGCCGAAGAGCACCTCTTCTCTGGCTATTGCTTGCCATGAAGACAGAAGGGTTCTTTCTTTGCATGGTACAAAGCATTATTAAATTCTTTGATTAACCCCCCTGGGGATGAGGTAGCACTTGTGACCCCTGATGCCACCCGCACTACCTTGGAGAAGCTCTTCCAGAGCAGCTGCTGCTTTGCCAAGGTGCTTCCTGAGCCAGGAGGAGCTGGATCTAGCTGTGGATTCCAGACTTGTGGGTGCCCCGTTTTTTTGCCATAAGTAGATTAATTTTAGATTAATTTAATTTTTAATATATGAAAGTATGACATCTCTACCTGCTCCAACAATATTTGGGACAAAGAGAAGGCAGAATAAAGTGAACTGGCTGGAGCTCTGCAGTTCGTTTTGCTTGAGCAGTCCTCTTTTTGCTGTAAGATTGCTCTGGCTCTAGTAGAATAGTATTTATTTCGATTAATTGCATTAAAATGGGCATGTGGCATTTAGGATTGGAAGTGGGCGCACTCCACTGTGGGGATGGGAAACATACGGCAGCACTCCTTGGGCTGCACACTTCTGAACCAAGTTGGGAATTCAGCTAAGAAGCTTGTGGAGATTCTGGGAATGTGAAGCTTATTCTTGTAGACAACATTGAACCTGACCCATGATGGGGCCAAGTTTGTCTCCCCAGGTGTGACTATTTTTATGAGCTGTGTACAGACGCATCGCTTCACCTTGACGCCGTACTTAGTGGGCTGTAATTATACGCGAGGTAGTTCTGGAGAGAAATGCATGTGTGTGTTTTTTTTTTGCAGGTAATAAAATGGAAAATCCAATTTGCTGTTGCAAAGTAAGCCTCTGAGTAATACATGATCTTCATAGCAGCATCGGTCAGGGTGTTACTGCTAATCGCAGCGCGGGCCGGCTTCCCTGGTGGCCTGTGCCTTCCACTGAGCACTGAATGGTGTGAGCTGTATCCTGAGCCAGCCAGCACAGATTTAGACACCCTGCTTTCTAGCTTATTAGGTCCTCGTTGTCACAGTACTTAATCCTCCTTCCTGATCCTTGTTAGAACACCAGGGCTGGCGTGTCCCATAATAAAGGAGCCGGGCGCGAGGCTCCTAACTGGAGGCACTGGAGCGTAAGGCAGTCAGGGCGATGGCTGCCTGACTGACAGAGGGGTGAGATGCCTCCTGCATGTCGTTATTTAACGAGAACAGCCCTCAGACAGCTGACAGATGAGCCCGGTAAGGTAATGGTAACTTGTTGATGGGCCGATATGAGATGCATGACATCTTTTCACACAGTATAATGGTCTGTCTTTACTCTAATTGCATTAACCCTTCTTACGGAGAGAATAACGTTAAGGATCAGCTGGAATGGAGAACATGGGGAAATGCAAACAGTTTTCAGAAGTGCCTGTAGGAAATGTGTGCTCGTGCTACTTACATAGGTGCCTTTCATTTTGAAAAATGAGCACATCAGGTTGATTTTAGCATTCCCTGACAGCTTGGCTTGGTCAAGCTTCAAAACCTGGTATTTCTATGTTTTGTTTCCCATGGTTATCTATATGAAAATATTTTATATTTGTATTTGTGCCTTTGGATTTCTGGGGGGATTGCTGAGGCTCCCTTAATCACAAAATTCACATAAAAAAATTGAAATGGCGGTAGAGATTTCCTGTTTTAATTTAAGGAGCACAAATGATTTCAATGCCTAAAATTATTTCAATGCCTAGGCCTTTCTGGAATTTAGCCTCTTGTATCCATAGTCATGAAGAGTTACAGTATAGTGCTGTTGTGGTTTTTGGGTGGCAATTTTTTGGAAAACAGTCAAAAAAAACAACTCCTTAAAAGTCTATTAAGTCTTCCTGTCAATGAAATAGGTAAAACTGGCATGTTGCAAGCCTGGCTTTGTTTGTGTTTGTCAGTATAAAGAAGTGTCATCAGGGACCTGCAGCAGGATCCTGGCACAAACAGCTCGCTGGGCACTGGGAAGGGAAGGAGCCTGGTGGGCATCGCTTGTTGGCATTGTGCTCGGAGCAGAGGCTGAGAAATGCTGTGCAACGTTAAGCTTCAGTGCAGCTAAATCCTCCCGTCCTGTCAGTCTCTGTGCATGACTCTTGGCCGTGGTAGACAAGGATAACTTGCTGAGTTGCCCTGTAGAGCTGAAAATTATGTGTAATGGCACAGCTAGGTGAAACCTTTAAGGTTGCAGGAGAGCTGGGAAGTTCAGAGGGAGGCATCGGGAAGCCCCATGTTCTTATTCAGTTGTTCTGGCAGTGCTGACTGAACTTACTCCCATACAGGACATCCCAAACCCTATCTGCTAGTAAGTCCTGCTTAAAACTAATTCAGTGAATAAAAATTATAAACAGTGGCCTGAGTTCAAGCCTGCTGTGCAATATGCAGTACCACTGAAATGAATAGGGTGCAGCAGCATCCATCATGGTTGGAACTATCATTTCTTCTTTCTCCTCTCTGTTAAACCTGAAATATTTGCTTTGTACTCTCTGAAATAAATGAAAGGTGTTTTTTTTTATTCACAGCCAGGTATTTCTTTATTTTTTTTAAATTTCATATTTTTTTCATATGCCATTTTTTAAATCCCTTTCAGGTAATTTGGATTTGACTGGTCAAAAGCAAGTCTTCAAAGCAGAGAACAATCCTTGGGTGACACCAATAGCCGACCAGTTCCAGCTGGGAGTGTCTCATGTGTTTGAATACATTCGTTCAGAAACATACAAATAGTAAGTATTACATGACACTGTTATGTGCTGTAGGTGTGTGTTTAGCAAAGTGTTATCAGTTACACCCTTCTTCCATAATCCATGCACTATCTTGGGATTCAGGGCAAACAGACAAACCTGTAAATTTTTATTAAGTAGTTTTGCTAACGAGAAGGTAAGTTAATGTGATTCAGATACGTTAGAAAGGCATAAAGATTGTTCAGTATTGTCCTGCTTTTGTGGTTCATTTCTAAGAGCGACGTAGAAGAGCAAGAATTGAAAGCCTTTGAAAAGTACTAATTTGAAGTATGTGCAGTAAGGTTTTATACACTGAAGTAAGTGTTTGTTGATGGTTTTGACTGTAAGTTTCTTATGTGTTGAAATAACTGTCTAGAATACAAACCTGTTTTGGTCTGGGCTGGTTTGCGTAAGTCCATAACTCTGGCAATTCAAATAAAGGTACTACTGCTTCCTTCAAGTGCTGGACTTGTTCATTTTAAATCAAAATTCTGAGTACAAATGCTAAGTATTTGTTTGGGAAATAATGTCTTTAATCATTCACTGAATTGAAATATTTCCTCACTCTTTAACTATCCATGTTACCAGTCCTAGTAAAACTTCACATGGCAAGTTATTTTTGTGTCTGAAAACTACCTTGATGCTGCCTTCCTGGATCATTAGGTAGTACAACAGATGGTACCCCTAGATCAGAAACTTAGTTTTTCATTTCCCCTTTACTTAAATTTATATTTTAGTAATTTAGAAGCATTTCTGACCATTTTTTGTACAATATCTGTCAATTAAAAAGAGAGCATTTGTAGATAAAGGTTTTGGGATTCCAATTAAGTAACTGAGATATGAATTTCTGTGTGAAACTGTAAATGATCCAGCAGTGAGTGTTGTATGCTGTTTTTCATTTACAGAATTCAAGTGAAAAGGGTCATAGATCAGTGTGGTAACAAAAACTGTGTGCCTCAGAAGTATCCTGATCTTTGTCCAGTCATACACAGTTCTCAAGATGCATTTATTCAAAGATATAAGTAGGCTGTAATACCTCTCTTCCAGCAGTCTTCTCTTCTGCAGACATGGTGGAGGGAAGCAGCTGTCTCCCTAGACCTGTCTCCACAGTCCACTGTGCAGCTGCATCTAGGTTTCTTGATAACATGTTTTGTAATTTCTTATGGCCAGTTTTATGTTCCTGCTTAAGCAGTGTAGATTAGGGTGCCTCGTGCAGGTCTCATATGGACAGCACAGGGATCATGAGGACAGGAAAGTTTTGAGGACTAAAATTTTAAGAATTTGACCCCGCTAAGATTTTTTGGGGGAGCTCTTTGTATCTGTCTGTAATAAAAAACAGTAATGAATAATGGTTTTGTAGCAGTAGAGTAATAAACCGCTCCGTCAACTTTCCTTGTGCACCCAAAATTAAGATAAAAGATTCTGTAATTCATCACTTGCCTCAGCTGTTGCTCTTTGTTTTAGGCAAACCACATAATGTTTGCTGCCTTGTTCTTTGCCAAGGTGTAATGGTGTCTTGTTGCCTAATGGGTTGATTTTGATTTTGACCACAGTAAATATTTGAAGCCTTTCTAGTTGACAGTGCAAGCAAACTCAGACTTCAGCCATTAACAGGGGGAAAATGGAATCAAAAGAATCATTGCATGGGTCATTCAGAATTCAGCTTTGATCTTAGCAGCTTATTCAGTTAAAATGTCATATTGTAAAATATCAGTGATGAAAAAATGTGTGCAGGTGATAGAGAAGATGTTTTATTATCGTTTCCAGCATACATTTAAATCATAAATTAAAAATATCAATGTAATTTTGTTAGAAGGCCAGTAGCAACTTGTTTTGGTTCTTCATTGTGCTTGTTTCATGTATTCTGTAAAGAGTTTGTCGATTTTCTAGTGAAAAAGACACCTTTTTATCTCCAGTTTCCTTTAAATATGCGATTTGAGAATTACTTGCCTGCCACCTGCTACAGACATTTTTCAATTTGTGGAAAGCCAATTTTAGAACTTAAAACTTGCAAGGAATGGCATAATCTGGTTAACAGGTCTTGTAGTGTTATTGTGCACAAAGCAAATAAGTTGTGAACGTACAAGAAATGAAAACTCCTTTTTGTGCTGAAAATTTGATCTTTTCCCTTTAACAACTATACATATTCAGCTTCATTTTTTCTTCCAGAGATTGTCCAGGTATTATATCTTTTTTTTTTTTTTTTCTCATTAAGCCAATCACTAAACTGAAATGTGAATGTAGTAATTTTATCTGTAGATATCTACTTTTATGCACATTTGAACAATTAGATTTCTTTGGATCCTTCAGCTCCCCCCCCAAAAGAAATTTAACATTAAAATTAACTTATATTTGATAGACCCAGGCAGTTTAACTTTTAATCTGAGACAAAGCAGTGTAGTTAACTGGGTGATTGGATAAACTTCTGAGGTTGGGTAACCTCACTTTTGCAATACTGAGAAAAGAGAACGGTTCATACATATTAGTAGCTTACAATCAGTATTGTCATCTCAGATCAGGAAGTTTACTTTGAGGTACAGGCAGATGTGGACTTTCATAAACTAGGGACCATGCATCTATATTGTAGATGGATTTTGAGCTCCAGAGATGGTAATTCTCTCCCTATGCCCATTGCTTTTGCTAGCTGATTAGAAATATTGATTTTACTTTGTTTACAAGTATAACATTGTCTATACTGGCTAAGACAGAGAGGGTACGCTCACACAATCATGAATGCCAAGTTTCAGGGCCTTAGCGAGTTTCATTTCACTAAGTGGGTTATGTTAATATATTTTATTTTGTGTTTTCAATGGCTAGATCATCATATTTACTCAGTTGCTGTTATCTCAGCCAGAAAGTAGTAACTCACTAAGTATTGGCAATTTGCTCATTTGCAGTCACGTTACTAAACCTTGAGGTTTCTTCTGATAGCTGGCACAAGCCATAACAGTGCTGCAATCACCATCAGAGTTTTCCAGTCAGATTCTGAGGCTGCATTTGTGAAGCAGCTACCAAATAGATCAAAACACTCTTCTTTCTCTGGTGAAATACCCTGGCCATTTCAAGCATGGTCAGTGAAAAATATCACCCCATTTTTAGCCTCATTTGAGGATATTCCTGCCCTAGTGATTAATTGGTAAGTAGAGATGACACCTTCGAGGGATGAGCATGTCTAAAGAAGCTGTCATTGTCTCACTTACCTTTATGTTTTCATACTCCTGTTTTACATGGTAGTTCAATGCCAAGGACCACATTGGAGTAGTACTTGACTTCAGAAGGGTGTCAGTCAGCCACTCATCATCTGCTCCTACTTAGTAGGCTCTTTCCTTTCCTTTAATTTCCTTGCCTTTCATGAGAAATGATGCCAGGTGATTTTTCAGCCCCCATTTTTCAAGGAAGACTTGTGCTGACAAGAAGCTGGGCCATATATTGTGTCAGAAAATCTGTGTGGCGGGGCTCTTAATTCTCAACAGGGAGCTCAGCAGCGTATGGCACTTTGCTGCCTTTTGTTGGCTAGAATACGCCCACTGTACATATCATCCTGTGACAGCATCGTTTGGAAACGGGTCAGTTTGCCAAGAATGTAATGATTCTTACTCTCTGACTGCCACACTGGCTTTTGGAAAGTTCAGGTTGTAAGCTGAATTTTGGCCTTGATTCTCTACATACTCAGGAGATGCCATTAAACTCCCCATGTGGCATCAGGGTGGGATTGAAAAGCAGCTGAAAGACTTATTCAGACAGTAAAGGGTAATGGCAACCTCATCTCCTCAAAGAGCTTAACTAAATGTTTTATTTTTTATTCATGTGTGTGTTCAACTTTCAAAGTGCCCTTTTTGTTACAAGCATATTCTCAGAGGATCTTCTCTGTGTAGGGTACCAACAAAGAGATGATGGATTGTATGATTTAGTGGCTATAATGCACTTAGACAAGTGCAGACAGACATAAATGTTCGAAAGAAACCAATGAATTAAACTTCTATGAAGAACTGAAATCCTGTGATGTCCGTCAGGATTGGTGTCAGATAATTAGTGATTTGATTAAGGTGAGGTGAAGCTCAGATGTGCAGTTGGTACCTGAGGGTGGGTTTGGTTGCTGGTGTTCACAGATTCAGAGTTAATCCAGAAAGCTGCCCTTTGGGCGTGTTTCTGGCATTAATCAGTCGTGTGCTCTTGATCAATCTTCGTGTGAAAGTTGCTCTTTGCCTGTTTGTTCTTGTAACAGAAAGGGTACTGATTCTGCTTTTGTCACAGCACTCCATAGCAGTCATCATCACCCGATGGCATAATCTCAGCTGCAACAAAACAATTTGCTAAATGCTGATTACTTAGAATGACATTCAGACTTACAGCACTTCTAAGCTGCTGTTGAACCTGACACTCACCTTTTAACGCTTTCTTTAATGATTCTCCTCGTTTGACCTCCTTATTTCAGCGAGGCAGAGTTATGGTAGGACAGTGACCATTAGTTAAGTTTCTAGAAAGCTGCTTTCCCCAGGAGGCAGTCAGCCTGGAGCCGAGAATCTCAACAAGATGTTTTGCAAAAGGAAATAGGCTGTGGTTTTCACATTTCCATCAGAAAAGGTGGTAGAAGAGCAAGCCATTTTCAAGACTGACACACTCTTACCAGCGGAAATAGTTTGATGAATGCTATGCCAAGCATGTATCGCTTGGCAACACTGAAGCATAGGTTTTCCTCTGCTAAGCATTGCAAGTGAAAACCTCGTTTTATTGTCAGTGACAGTCTGGGAGAATCCACCCTTGATTCGGTCCCATCCCTAGAGACAATCTCCTCTCCATCTTCCTTCTTTAGGATGAACTATCCTGCTGGAACCCCACCGCTGTGCGGCAAATCCCCGCTGCTTCCAGGGCAGCAGGCACAGGTCAGGAAAAAAGGGATTGTTTTTATGGGTTATAGTAATGAGGAGTATTTTTGCATTTATTTTTAACAACTAGAGGAGACTGGGTAAGATACTCATAGGAATACAGTAGAATACAAATAG